CCACACCCTGTAGCATGTGGGATCTTAGTTTCCTGACCAGGGATCGAGCCCACACCTCCTGCATTGGGAGGTGGAGTCTTTTTTTAAAAATTATTTATTTACTTTGGCTGCACTGGGTTTTCATTGCTGCGTAGGCTTTTCTCTAGTTGCGGTGAGTGGGGGCTACTTGGTAGTTGTGGCGCAAATGCTTCTTACTGTGGAGGGTTTTCCTGTTGCAAAGCACAGGCTCTAGGGTGCACAGGCTTCAGTAGCTGTGTTCTGTGGCTTGTGGAATCTTCCCCAACCAAGGATCGAACCCACGAGGCGGACTCTTAACCACTGGACCACCAGGGAAGTCCTTGCAGCTGGGTTTAAAGCTCAGCTCTGCTGCTCTGTGTCCATGGCCCCCAGGGCATGTTGCTTTATCCCCATTCAGCAGCTCTGAGATGGGAATAACAGTCCCCACCTCCCTCTCTGCTAAGGTTCTTGTGAAGTTTAAACAAGACAGAGTACACAGACCTTGAGGAAGTAGCTAGGCGCCATAAATGCCCCTCTGCTTCCCCCTCTCACCCCAAACCTCCTTCCCAACCTGAGCACGCCATAAGTCTCCTGGCTGCATGGGCCCGAGACCTCTGGGGCAGTTGCACAATAACTGAGATTCCAGGTCACCAAGAGCTGTCTGGGAAGCAGAAGAAAGGCTGCTTTGTTTTGTATTCTCACGCAGGGCGCAGTGGGGAAGGTATTTCCAAACCTTCTTAATTAATTCCCAAGCCTTTTTCCAGTTGCCCAAGCCAGCAACCTGGGAGTCATCCTTGACTGCTCCTTCTCTCTCACGTCCCATATGTGTATTTCTAAGGCCTGTTACTCCTCCTTAAGACATTCCGAGCCCTCTGGGTCTCTCCATCTCCCCCCATCGTTTTTCTTTCACTCTCCATCACTGTTCCCTGGAAAACCACTGTGGCTTCCTGCATGGCCCTCAATATCGTCCCTCTTTCTCATCACCCAGCAGATAGAGCTCTGTCTAAATGCAACTCTCTGGGGATGATGGGAGAAGTTGGGAGGTTGGGACTGACACATACACATTACTGACATGCATGCATGCCTGCTAAGCCCCTTCGGTCGTGTCCGACTCTTTGCGACCCCATGAACTGAAGCCCACCAGGCTCGTCTGTCCATGGGATTCTCCAGGCAAGAATACTAGAGTGGACTATCATGCCCTCCCTTCAGGGGATCTTCCTGAACCAGGGATTGAACCTGTGTCTCTTATCTCCTGCATTGGTAGGCGGATTCTGTACCACCAGCACCACCTGGGAAGCCCCACTCTATTGATACTATATATAAATAAAATAGATAACTAATGAGAATCTGCTATAGAGCAGAGGGAACTCTACTCAGCGCCCTGTGGTGACCTAGATGGGAAGGGCATCCAAAAAAAGACAGCAAGGAGATCCAAACCAGTTAATCCTAAAGGACATCAACCCTGAATATTCATTGGAAGAACTGATGCTGAAGTTCCAATACTTTGGCTACCTGAAAAGCCAAACTCACTGGAAAAGACTCTGACGCCGGGAAAGATTGAAGGCAGGAGGCAGGATGAGATGGTTGGATGGCATCACTGACTCAATGGACATGAGTCTGAGCAAACTCCAGGAGATGATGAAGGACTAGGAAGCCTGGCATGCTTCAGTCCACGGGGTCGCAAAGAGTCAGACACAACTGAACAATAATGTGTACGGTAGAGTGTATAGCAGAAACTAGCACAACATTGTAAAGCAGCTATACTCTGACAAAAATTTAAAAATAAAGTCACATTGCAGATTACAGAAAATAACTGAATACATATTATAATAATTTGCTGTAGAAAAAAAATAGTCTGGTGTCAGCAAGTTGCTCCCCTACTTAAGATCACTTACTGATCACTAGCTTCCCTGGCAGCTCAGTTGGTAATGAATCCGCCTGCCTGAGATGCAGGAGACCCTGTTCAATTCCTGGGTGGGGAAGATCCCCTGCAGAAGGGATGGGCTGCCCACTCCAGTATTCTTGGGCTCTCCTGGTGGCTCAGGTAGTAAAGAATCTGCCTGCAAAGCAGGATACCTGGGTTCAGTCCCTGGGTGGGGAAGATCCCCTGGAGGAGGGCATGGCAACCCACTCCAGTATTCTTGCCTGGAGAATCTCCATGGACTGTGTAGTCCACGGGGTCCAAAGAGTCAGACACGACTGATCGAGGAAGCACAGCACACCAGCTCTGAGTACAACTAGCTCCAGGAGAAAGCCTTACCGCCCGAGCGTGGCTCAGCTCCTGTTTGGGCTCCCGCCTACTTTCCCAGCTTTTTTCCCATCAACCCTGCTGCAACCCTCCTCCTCCTTGCACCAGCTCTACTGCACCGTTTACACCTCCATGTATAAGGCTCAGCGACCCCGAGCTTTCCCGGATGTGGGATTTTTAGTGCTAAAACCAGGACAACCCAGGGCACACCAGGATCCTGGTCACCCTAGTTCTGTGCATCATCTTCCTCAATCCTGAATGCTCCCCCTTGTCTGTCCCACCCCGTGTTTACTATCCAACTCCTCACCCTCCGTTTCTGCTTGCACATCACTACTGCAGCCCCCAGGGAGTGGTTTATTCAGCATATCTAGGCGCTCTGGGGCTTCCCAGGAGGCACTGAACAGAAAGTGAAAGTGTCAGTCGCTCAGCCGTGTCCTGACTCTTTTGCGACCCCATGGACTGTAGCCTGCCAGGCTCCTCTGTCCATGGAATTCCCAGGCAAGAATACTGGAGTGGGTACCCATGCGCTCCTCCAGGAGATCTTCCTGACCTGGAGATAGAACCCTGGTCTCCCCCGTTGCAGGTGAAATTTTACCATCTGAGCCACCAGGGGTGCTAGCGGTAAAGAACCTGCTGCCAATTCAGAAGACCCAAGAGACGTGGGTTCGATCCCTGGGTCTGGAAAAGGAAATGGTAACCCACTCCAGTATTCTTGCCTGGAGAATCCCATGGACAGAGGAGCCTGGTGGGCTACAGTTTATGGGGTCTCACAGAGCCGAACATGACCAAGTGACTTAGCACAAATGCTCAAGCTCTCCTGGCAGCGACTACTGTGTTCTAACAGCTGCTCTGTCTCTCTTCAAGTTATAAACTCATTAAAGACTGAGGCAGTTTTTTTTCCCCTCTACCTATAATCTCAGAGCCTAGCGGAGATTCTGGCGCACAGTAGGTGTGCAATGAAGTTTTCTTGATTTAATGACTATCAGCATCAACATATCAAGTGTCATCTATTTCATATCACTATGTGGGATGTTATGGACTGAATGTTTGGGTCCCCTCCAAAACTCATATGTTAAAGTCTTAACCTCCAGAGGGGCTGGAGGTGGGGCCTTTAAGGAAATGCATGAGTGTGTGCTAAGTCGCTCAGTCGTCTCCAACTCTCTGTGACCCCATGGACTGCAACCTACCAGGCTCCTCTGTCCATGGCATTTTTCCAGGCAAGAATAATGAAGTGGTTGCCATTTCTTCTTCCAGGGGGTCTTCCTGACCCAGGGATCAAGCCTACATCCCAATGCAGGGGGCCTGGGTTTGATCCGTGGTCAGCAAACTAGATCCTACATGCTGAAACTAAAGATCCCACATGCCGCAACGAAGCCCTGGTGTGGTCAAATACATTTTTTTTAAAATTCAAGTAACACTAAATTCAACACTATACTTTAAAAACAGCATGTGCAGATTGAGTCTATTCTTGTTACAGTCACTCTATCTATGTAGCTCTCTATCCATCCTTCTATCTGTATTTGTTATAATGGTGTTCACCAACTGTGGATACTTGTAGTATTTCTGTGATCATAAGATCAGGATGATTTGAATTTAGGGAAAAAAGAGAAGAAGAGACACCAAGAGATCGCTCTCTCTCTCTTTCCCCCTCCCTCCATCCCCCTCGCTTTTTCCCCCCTGCAAAGTCACCCAGGAAAGACCACGTGAGCACACCCTGAAAAGGCAACCCAAAGGGAGCCCTCAGCAGACACCCGCCCTGTCACCACCTGGGTCTCAGGCTTCCAGCCTCCAGAGTGGTGAGAAAACAAATTTCTGTTGTCGAAGCCACCGGCCTATGGTGTTTTGTTATGGCAGCCCCGGCACGACAGCACAGGGGACGTACTACCTAGTTCATATAACCATGCTGTGACCACTGATGGGCGTGGTCACACAGGCACCCTCCTGAGGCAGAGAGCTGCCTTCTATTCCAAAACAGTTCCAGTAATACTTCCCATCCCATTTTAAGAATGTAAGTGTTCAACATGACAAGATTGACAAACGTATTTTTCTATCATTCTGCTTTACTTCTGCAAGCAAGTATCTTAGAATAGTAACTTCTGGGACTGGAAATGGTTACATGAATACGTGGTTCAGTTTCAAATGTATGACTGATATTTTTTGCAGCTAAGTAGCATTTTCTGTTTTCTGATGACACTTTAAAGCCCATTTAAGTTACCTGAGTATGCAGAATTAATTCCTCCTCTGGAAATGTCTTTGTTTTCTCCACTGAGCTGGTGATTCTTCATCGTCCCATTCAAATCCTACCACTCCCCTCCCACCCCTGGCCACACCTGTCAGCCCGTTGCCTGCCTCAAAGCCTGCCATCTACAAGCTGCAGCCCCCAGGCCTCGCTGTTCTCAGCTCCTCTTTCTCGGCTCTTGACCGAAGAGGAGCACTATCCGAGTGTGAAGGAAGGAGTGTGAAGGGCGGGGAGAGAGGGGTCTGGTCTTCTCCCTCCCTCTCTGCCAGACCCTGGCCTCCACCACGGGTGCCCTCCTCTGTCATACAGCACCCACGCTGGGCGGCCCCTCCCCTATGACCACAGCTCTGGAGGGGTTCTAGGAATAGCACACCCTGTCTCTTTTGTTTCTCCAGGCCCAAGGATGACAGAGGCTTCTGCTGTTAATGGTTCCCAGGGGCTTCTCCATCTCATCTTCTCTTTACCTTGCCCACAGTGTGAGTTAAGGATTGAGTTGTAACCCCTGCCCCCCCATTCCTATATTGAAGTTCTAACCCCCAAGACCTCAGAATGTGACTGTCTTAGGCGAGTGTCTTCAAAAAGGTAATCAAAGTTAAACAGAGTCATATAGGTGGACCCTAATCCAATCTGACTTGTGTCCATATAATAAGAGGCCCAGGTGGTACTAGTGGTAAAGAACCCGCCTGCCAAGGCAGGAGACATAAGAGATGTGGGTTCGATTCCTGGGTCTGGAAGATCCCCTGGAGGAGGGCATGGCAACCCACTCCAGTATTCTTGCCTGGAGAATCCCATGGGCAGGGGAGCCTGGCGGGCTGCAGTCCATGGGGTGGCAGAGTCGGACATGACTGAGCAACTTAGCATATACACAGTAAGAGAAGATTAGGACATCGACGTGCAGAGAAGGAAGACAGTCTGTGGGGACACAGGGTGAAGGCAGTCGTCTGCAAGCCAAGGAGAGAGGCCTCAGAAGAAACCAACCCTGCCCACATCTTAATCTTGGACTCCCAAGCCTCCAGAAAATAAATGTCTGTTGTTTTTAAGCTACTCATCAATGGTGGTGGTGGTGGTTTAGTCACTCAGTCATGTCCAACTCTTTGTGTGGGCTGTAGCCCACCAGGGTTCTCTGTCCATGGGATTTTTCAGGCAAGAATGCTGGAGTGGGTTGCCATTTCCTTCTCCAGGGCATCTTCCCAACCCAGGGATCAAACCCAAGTCTCCTGCATTGCATGCTGTTTCTTTACCTCTGAGACACCAGGGAAGCCCACTTATCAATGGTACTTTTGTTACAGCAGTCTAAACGGACTAAGACTTTGTTACAGCAAGACCCAGCAAACTATGACACCACAGTCAATTGTCCCAATCCTAAACCGCTTATGGAGCCTTGGGGATGTGCTGGTCATATCCTTCTCAGACCTGGCCTCACACAGCCAACCTCACCAGGGACACTATCATATGTCTCTTTATCCGCTCCATGGTATCTATCATCACATTCCTAAGTTTATAAATATGTCAACATTTGTGCGGTGAATACCTGTTCCTGAAATACTGCAGGACTTGCTTTCACAATAAGGTTCCTAAGCCGTTTCTAAGTGAGGATCCAAGTGACATCCACGTCTCTGTGTAGAGCATCTTGTCGCTTTTGGAAAAATCTTTTCACATTTTTTGCATCAGCTGCTGCTGGAAGGCCTGGGGCGATGACTGAAGTCCAGAGAGCCTCTGCAGATGCTGTGTGAGAGTTTTTGTTGCTGCCTCAGTGGCTGGGAGGCCCAGTGGCTGGTGAGGAAGCCAAGCAAGGTGAGCTGGAACGTGTAGGGAGGCCCTGGGTTCTGCATTTAAGGAGCTCTAGGGAGGAAAAAAGATACCGCTAGAGTGAGAGTTGTTAGAATAGCAGAAAAAGCTATCTAATTCAACTTATTTAAGGAATATAAAGGCTTTCCCTAGTGGCTCAGTGGTAAAGCATCCACCTGCCAAGCAGGAGATGTGGGTTTAATTCCTGGGTTGGGAAGATCCCCGGGAGAAAGGAATGGCAACCCACTCCAGTATTCTTGCCAGGAGAATTCCATGGACAGAGAAGCCTGGTGGGCTACAGTCCTCAGGGTTGCTAAAGAGTCAGACACAACCTAGCTACTAAACAACAACAAAGTAGTATAAAACAATTTTATAAAATCGTAGGACTGGATGGGATTTATTGAGACGTCCCAGTTTCACCACCTTCCCCCTCATGCAACCCCTCAAGTATTGAGTTACTCCTAATAAATACATTTCTTTGTCTCCAAAGCACTTTCACAACCGTGTTTCATTTGAGCCTCAAGGAAATTGTATGAGGTAGACAGGGAGGTATTAACGTCTCCATTTTACAAATAAATGTAACTGAAGAGCAGGTAGTTGAAATGCCAGTGTTCAAGGAGCTAGAAAGTGTTAGAGCTGGGTCTGGAGACTCGTGATCCTGAGACCAGGTGGGTATTGATAGAGTCCCCATCGTTTACCGTCCCTGCTAACCTGGGCATGCACACACAAGACTGATGTCACAGGTGGACATTCCATCCAAAACTCACAGCGAGGAAGGACTTCTCCTCAACATCTGGCCGTGAGCAGAATGGGCAGAGGAAGGGAGAGAGGGAGAGAAAGACATAAATACGAGCTGAGTTTACAGGGAGCAGAAGGAGGTACATGCAGCCTTATCTCAGCCCTGACTGAGCAGAGCAACGCAGGAGAGCAAGCAGATGTACAGAGGCTGAGCCCCTCCGAACGCTGTCCCGCCCGCGACTCCATACTCAGCTGGCAGGTCCCAGGAGTCAGATCATCCGTTACCTCCCTCTAATGCTCTGATGGATATATTTGCAACACACAGGGTTTCCATTAATCTGGGGAAAATCCTACTTTAGGCTCTCACTGACTCAGACATTGCTTTAGCCATGACTGCTGTCTCCAGTGGGTCCCTCTTCCTCCACAGAGATGCTCCACACAGGCTGGTCTCGCCTGTACCCTCCACCTGCCTGTCTCTCTCTATTTTTTAAATTGGAGGATAATTGCCTTACAATGTTGTGGTGGTCTCTGCCATACATCAATGTTAATCAGTCATAATGATATATATATATATATGTGTGTATGTGTGTATATATATCCCTACCCTCTTGAGCCTCCCTCCCCCCACATCCCCTCCCTCTAGGTCATCACAGAGCTCCAAGTTGGGCTCCCTGTGCTATATAGCAGCCTCCCACAGGTTATGAGCATACATGGGGCTTCCTTGGTGGTTCAAATGGTAAAGAATCTGCCTGCAATGCAGGAGACTCAGGTTTGATCCCTGGGTTGGGAAGATCTCCTGGAGAAGGGAATGGCAACCCACTCCAGTATTTTTGCCTGGGAAATCCCATAGACATAGGAGCCTGGCGGGCTGCAGTTCATGGGGTCTCAAAGAGTCAGACACACCTGAGTGACTTTGAGAGTGAGTGAGTGTAGGTACATCAATGCTACTGTCTCAATTTTTCCTAGCCTCTCCTCCCGCTGCCGGGTCCACAAGTCCATTCCCTACATCTGCATCTCCATTTCTTCTCTGTAAATAAGTTCATCAGTACTGCTTTCCTAGATTCTGTATATATGTGTGGTGTGTGAATGCTAAGTCACTTTGGTTGTGACTTTAAGTCATACAGACCCATGGACTGTAGCCTGCCATAATGCATATCATACATGTGTTAATATACAATATTTGTTTTTCTCTTTCTGACTTACTCACCTGCTCTCTTTACTCCTTCTCTACGTCTATCCTTGGAGGCCCACCTTCTCCAAGAAGCTTGAGTGTTTCAGCCCTCAGGGATTTTTGTCTCAGCTGCATTCCTGAAGCCATTATCATCCAGATCCCCAAACTTAGCACTGAACATAAGCTCTTCAATATTAGTTCTCTGATGAGACGTCAGCCCCCGGAGAATCAAGCTGGAATCCCGCACCCTACTGAATCTATGCTCCCGCCTTTAGTAGATCCATGCATGTTAGCTGTGACTTTTCTGGGAAAGAGTAGGCAAAACTGGGGTTAAACACAGCCAGTCGATGGAATCCAAGAGTAAAGGGGGAATGAGTGGGAATTAATTGTCTTCCCGTGTTGGAAGTTTTCGGGGTTATTTCAAGATCTGCATACAGTCAGCATTTTCATGTTGCTCCAAGATTAGCACAAGGTAAGAGAACAAACAGAAGCCTTCCTTTGTGCTATTTTAGGAAAAAGGAAAGTCAAATAATACCTGCCAAATGGAGGAAAAGCCTAGCTTTCTGTGATACAAGAATAGGCTCGTAACACCTCGGCTGTAACAGTTTCAAATGGAATCCTATTACAGTGCAAAGTATATTTATCACTGTACTTGAGGAACCCTTTCTCCTAAGTCCCCCCAGGGGGAGATCCACAGGCCCAGGCAGGCTCCTCTCAAGCTCTCCTTTTCCACCCTGGCAGGTCCCAGGGACTCCCCTGCCCCACCACCTCTCCTCTTGGTAATTGTCACCACCTACCCAAATTGTCAAGTTTCTCAATCCCTTCCTGAGGGGCTCTGGAAGCTGGTCTCTTTATGCCCACATGTTGGACTGCACCTCAAAGCCCTACAAAGCCTGCATTTGCCCAGCTTCAAGACAGGAAAGCCCCGAGTGGGCAACAGAGGGGCTTCTCCGGTGGCTCAGCAGTGAAGAATCCACTAGCAATGCAGGAGACACAGCAGATGAGGGTTCGATCCCTGGGCCAGAAAGATCCCCTGGAGAAGGGAATGGCAACCCACTCCAGTACTCTTGACTGGGGAATCCCATGAACAGAGGAGCCTGCTGCGCTACAGCCCATAAGGTTGCAAAGAGTCAGACATGACTGAAGTGACTTAGCACGCACACATGCATCAAGCAACAGAGACATCAGTGGTTTGACAGATGGGGAGCTTATGTGTCTGAAGCAAAGTCCTAGGGCGACACCCCCACCCTGGGCAGCAGACACCTTCAGGACACGGCAGCAGTCTTTGTTCCTGGTGGAAGGGGAGATTGCCAGTTACAGGGGAGCTGATGTCAGATGGGCTCATCGATTACCAGGGAAACCAACAGAAGGGCACGCCCCTCACTGCCCCTTTGATAAGAACAATCACTAGCTGGGGCCCAAGGCAAGTATGTAGGAAGGCCAGAGTCAGTGTAAGTGAAGCAGGCCCTGGTCGGGCAGGGGATGGACAGAGAGCAAGAGAACAGCCATCTTGAGTGGGCTGGTCAGCCACCAACCTTCCTGGTTGTCCCGAAAACAAGTTTGTAGACCCTCTTCATTTTAAGACTTTAATGCCCATCATGACAAGAGGAAAGACAAAATCTAAGGAAGAAAGACAAAATATGGGGAATTATATGCATGTGTGTGTGTGTCCAGTAGCTAAGTGGTGTCCGATTCTTTGCAACCCTGTGGATTGTAGCCTGCCAGGCTCCTCTGTCCATGGAACTTTGCAGGCAAGAATACTGGAGTGGGTTGTCATTTCCTCCTCCAGGGGAGCTTCCCGATCCAGGGATCAAACCTGTATCTCCTGCCTGCATCTCCTGTATTGGTCGGTGGATTTTTACCACTTGAGCCACCTGGGAATCCTGAGGAAATATACAAAGGGTACAAATCTGACAGTCTTGAGTTTGATCCAGAGCATCTGATGATCTGGTTGAAATAACTGGAAATTTCTTTTATGTCAACATTGGGTGTTGTAAGCAGATAGGGAAGGGGGTCCCTGGAAAAAGAGAGTCAGGCATGACATCTTTGACATAAGAGAACCCATTTTGGTCCAAGACATTTTGTGATCTAAGCCTGGCCACAATGCTTGCCCTTAAACCGGTCTCAGTAATTAATGATCTTAAGGGAAGAAAGGACTGCAGGAATGAAGGGAAAGCAGTCAAGAAACAATGGGTCTAGGACTCCCCTGGTGGTCCAGTGGCTAAGACTCCGAGCTCCCAATGCAAAGGGGCTGGGGTTCCATTCCTGGTCAGGGAACTAGATCCAGCATGCCACAACTAGGAGTTTGCACGCCCCAACTAAAGATCCTACATGCTGTATGATGTGGCCATTAAAAAATGTGGTCCACATTAAAAAACATATACCTTAAACTTTTTTTTAAATAGAGAGATAGAGGTGAGCAAGAAATAATCAACACCGCAACAGGCCTGTTTTTGTTCTTCATTTGTCTTTAGCTCTGGGGTAAAACTGTCAGTTGTGGGGGAAAGGCTAAGCAAAAATTTCTAGCCAGGGCTTTGAAATTTAAGCCCAAGATTATGTGATGGCACCATTCAGCCTCCCAAGTAGGTGACATAAAATCGGGATGTGCCACCAAATGTGCACAGGACATAGAATTCCTATGGTTGTTTGTTAGTAGGGACTATGAATTTATATTTCAAAGCATCCATGTCTGAGAAAACTGACTTCTAATGTAGTTTGCTGTAAAAAGCCAAACTATTGAACACAAAGGGTTATACATGAGTACATACATAAAGACTACATATGCACACATATATATTTTTTAAAGATTTTTTTTGATGTGGACCATTTTTAAAGTTGTTTATTGAATTTGTTACAATATTGCTTCTGTTTCTTGTTTTGGTTTTTGAGCAGTGAGGCATGTGGGATCTTGGTCCCCTCATCAGGGATTGAACCTGCAGCCCCTGCATTGGAAGGCATAATCTTAACCACAGCACCACCAGGGAAGTCTCTTTTGTTTAACTCTTAAGTAAAAACAAGAAGCCATTTGGCCCCAGTCTAAATGTTCAGGGAAAGAGAAGCAAGTAGAATTACTCCTGTTGGAAATGCCAAGTTAATTTATTATGCGTAGCATGATCAAACAAGAGGCCACAAGACAGAGCAAGCA